TATTGCTGTGTGACGCGATTTTTGCCGAATTTGTATAAAATTTTAAAAATGTTGCATCACATTTAATAAAATACTTGTAATTAATATATTTTCCGGATTTGAATAATTTAAATATATAAGCATTAGACATTTTGTGGTTGTTTTGCGCGCATTTTAGCATAACGAAATACGATAAACGCTAGCTATCGGCTTTCACACGCTGGAATTGAATTCGTAATGCAGCGTTTTTACTGCATTTAAAAAGGTAGTAGGTGCAGGGCTGCAGTTTTGATTTTTTTCTATTTCGAGAAAAATCTGAACTGTCATGCTTTACAACATTCATATACACATTCACATACACATACATTAGCATCATTTTTGTTTGCTTTTGATTGGTCGAACGTGCTTACATTTATTTCTGTTTTGACATTTTATGTTTCTCAAGCAACAACAAAACACATGGAAGGGTTGCATTTGCTCTTCTGCTACTACCTGTTTATTGTGCCATGCATCAAGCCATGTTCGAATCGTGGTATTTTTCGAAGATCACAGGGTTGCTTTTATCATTTCGTTTCTTAATGCAGAAATGAAATTTCATTTAGTTGCATTAGGTGACGAATTTTGTATAGATAAATGTGCGTTTATAGTAGCATTTAGAGCTAAATGCGCTAATGTGATTTTACGCGTAAGCAAAAACAACCCATAATACGGCATGCTGTATGCAAGCATTCATCGTGTATCGTACCGACGGCAAATCAATATCGATAATGGCAATCAGTAGTTGGCGGTCTCTTGTTTTGCAACAGATGTTTTTCACTTGCCGAATGTAAGAAAATAAAGTTGACCTGAGATTCAAGTGTTTTGCAAAAAATTTAATTTAATTAATAAAAAAGGGAGAACCCACATCGAGAAACACCGGATATACATATTATATAACAATATGAATAAGGTAAGTAAGCGTCATCTTAGAAGATTGGTTCGTAAAGAAAGAGAAAAGAACCGTGAAATGTTGAGGTTAAGTGAAACTGCGCAGAATAGTGCGTCTGCGCCCATTGCTAGAGTTGTCGAAAGTGGAGAGGATGTGCCAGGTAATGCGGTAAATGAAGATTTGAAAATACCTTTTTGTGAAAATCTTAAAATGTGGGCTATTCGCAATAAAATATCCCACAAAAGCCTTTCCGAACTTTTGACAATCCTTGCAAATGAAAATATTAATGTACCTAGATGCGCAGGAACGATTTTAAAAAATTGCTCGCAGATTATAGTACAAAATATTAGTCCTGGGTTATTTTGCAACATTGGCATTAAAACACAATTAGAAAAAATTTCCGGTGAGTTATTTAATTATGAAGCCATAATTGTCGATATAAATATCGATGGGTTGCCTTTATACCGCAGCTCTCGTATGCAATTATGGCCAATTTTGGTTAGAGTTGTGAATGTGCCAAATATATCTGTGTTTGCTACTGGTCTTTTTGTAGGGCGAAGTAAACCAGATTCAATAACAGAATTTTTAAGTGAATTTGTTGCAGAAGTTAAAGAGCTTGAAGCTAATGGTTTTGAAAGTAATGGGCGGTGCATTAATTTCAAAATTAGGGCTTTTGTTTGCGATGCCCCAGCAAAATCTTTTCTTTGCGGGATACCAGGTCATACTTCACGTCATGGTTGTCCCAAATGCACCCAAGTGGGGAAAAAAATTGACGGCGTACTGACTTTTAGTACGGAGGTTGGAACCCTGATATCAAGTATAGACTTTTCTGAACGCAAATATCCAAATAAACATTCACCTATTTTTGCACATAATTTATCCCCTTTAGAAGAAATCAATATTAAAATGATATCCCAAGTCCCCTTTGATGTCATGCACCTCATTGATTTAGGTGTTATGCGCAAGTTTATTTTACGCATTATTAATAACAAATGCAATTATAAGTTCAAGGAAGAAACCAAAATTAAAATATCAACAAAACTAGTAGCCTTATCTTCGAACATTACCAAAGAGTTTGTTCGAAAACCTAGATCTTTTAATGAAATTTTAAATTGGAAAGCTACCGAATTCCGCATGTTTCTCCTCTATTACGGCATTTATGTTTTAAAAGATGAAATTCCCAACGAAATATATTATGAATTTCTCCTTTTACATTGCGCTTGTAGATTATTTTTCTGCCCAAAACATTATGCTTCTAACATTGATGTGGGGAGAAATATGCTAAAATTATTTGTGGAAAATTTTCCAGTAATTTTTGGGGACAATAGTGTTTCCTACAATGTACATGGGTTACTTCATGTTCACGAATATGTTAAAGAACTAGGTGTACCTTCAAATTACTCGGCCTACCAATTTGAAAATTATTTACAAATACTAAAATCATACGTTAAAAAACCAACTAAAATATTGCAACAAATAACGAATATGTTGAAACCAGTGTACGAAAATAAACTATATTGTACGTTACTATTTCGTTTCGTTTATTACTTTAACAGTTCGGTACAATACGAAACAAAACGGCTGAGTTCACTTTGGCGATAGTACACTACAGTAGTTTAGTAGTTACAGACGAAACAACAAACGAAATGAATCGTGCAGGGAAAATATATTTATGTATGCACATATATGCAATAAACAAATACAAAACGAATGGCTGCAATGAATAAAAAAAATAAAAATGTTTTTTAATTGAATTGGATATGAAAATTTACAGAAAAAATTATTTTTCACGTAATTGAAACGTTTGCATACATATAAAACGTACCCTATGGTACAATTGTCACAAACGAAAAGCAAACGTTTCTCGTTGGGGAAAATGACAGTGAATCTTACAATTTGTTTCTGACTATTTACAAAACTGTACAAAACCACAAATGATATGATGATCGATGAGCAAATGGGAATTGTTTTGTACAGTTTGTCTTCGTACCCTGGTTGAAACACGAAAAAATTGTAACTGCGCCAAAATTTACTGGATTTCATATTAAAAACGATTGTGTAAGTTTTCATTTTAAAGATTTCATCTTATCCAATAAATATCCCAATAATTACTGTTCTCTTGAATCGTTCCAATATATACTAATTCAACAATTTGGGGACGTAAATAGTAAAACTTTAAAGGGCAAGAAATTATTAAATTTAGAGAATTTTTTCACAGAACCAATCGATTCCTGCACATTAGGGATATGTACTGCAGACACCACTTCATTTGGCCATGAAGAGGAATTTTCTCTCGATGATGTTGAATTCAAATTGATGTGCATTCCATTTGAGGAGAAAATTCTTCTCATTCCCATTTTACACACTTGCATGTGATTTCTTTACGATCTTTAACTTTCTACTATTTTATTTTTTAACTTTTATATAACTGAGATAAAATCATTCACTTTTTATTTTTCTCGAGCACCTTTTTAAAAAATACGGAGCGCAAAACCCGATCACGTCGGCGGCGAAAATCCCGATAAAAAAGACAAAATGTAAATATACAATCGTTTCTGTTGATATTAAAGTATAACGTTAATATAACGTTCCAGATACGACCGAGAATAAAATGCTGTTACAAAACAGCTCAAGACGCGTCAGTTTGACCAGTGAATGCACCATAGGTAAATAATTATTTTCAATGACATGCTTACATAAATCTTCCCTTACACATATATTTTCATATTTTTTTAGAATCACGGAGAATAAGCGTATCAACATCGGCCATAGAGGCAAATGGTGTGTTTTAAACCCAAATATTCAGCTTATTATCAAAACCATATATAATTTTAGATAAAGATTTAAATATGAAAAATTAATTATAATAAAAAATGCAACTTATTTTTGATATTTAGAGAGCAACCAAGAAGTTTTTCAAGTGGTGTGTTGCAGTCACTGCAACATCTTTGAGAAACAACTGCAAGCAATGGGCGAAAAAATAGAAGTCCTGCAAAACGTTGTGGAAACCCAAAACGCCGCGATCATGGACGCTATAGCCGGGCAGAAGGTGGCTACAGAACAACTGGTGCGCCAAGAAGCCCAAAACACACCTGTCGTCAAATATTTTCCGATATGCGATATACCCGAAATGCGGGCGTTGGAATGCAAAATAACTTCTGCCAACAGGGATATATGTGCGTTATTTATAAAAGTATAAATTTGCAGACAATTTTATAAAGAATAAAAATTATTTGAAATGCTTTATAATAAAAAAATTATGTAAGGAAATAAATATATGTACGTACTTACATATATTTAAAGATATAAAGCAATTCAAATCAATTTCATTACTCATTTCAAATGTATCGATTTTGCAGGAGGCTGCTATTTCGTCCATTTTGTGCAACAACATAAAAAATATTTCAATGCTGCTAAAAATAGACGTAATCAATGAATTAAATGTGGATGGATCTCATGGAAAGGTTGGGCTTAAATCCTTTCCAAACTTTTATGGTGCACTTACAGGTGTTTTTTGTTTAAAATTTTACACATATATGTACATTGAAAAATTTGTTCCCACTCTCAGGAGCCATTGCCAAAATGCCGTTTAAGGGATTGACGCCAGAAGACACGGTTAGAAGCGCACTAAAATTTGAAAAGGCAAAGTATTTCAAAAAAGCATATAGACAAAAGAAGAAAAATTTTGAAAATTAATTTTTAAGTTTATCAAATTTATGAATTGTCTTTTTTTGTTTTTTTATTATTTTATTGATCTCAATATTAACTTTAAGACAAACGAAACCCAAGTACAAATGAAAATGAATTTAAAAATGAAATTAATATTAGACTTTTAGAATAAGAAAGCGCAGAATCTGAAAGTAACTTAAAGACTAAATGAAAATGAATTTGAATATGAATATGAAATAAATGTAGGTAATAGACGGTTTTAGAATATGAAAGAATTTAATTTGAAAATAAGAAATAATTGAACTTTTAAGTTATTGAAATCAATGAAGTGCAACTTTTTTATATAAACTATCTTTATATTAACTTAAAGACCAAAGAAACAAATGTACAAATGAAAATGAATTTAAAAATTAAATTAATGTAAATAATAGACTGTTTTAGAATAAGAAACGATTTAATTTTAAAATAAGAAAGAATGGAATTTTTTAATTAATGAAGTGCCACTTTTTCTATAAAATATCTTTATATTAATTAAACAAATGTACATATAAAATGAATTTAAAACTGAAATGAATTTATTTATTGCTCTGTTTTAGAATAAGATTTTTTATAGTTTGTTACAAATAATATAAAAATATCTAATTAATAGCCATGCAAGCGCACTAAAAAATTTATATATAGTGTTTATTATTTGTATTAACGATGAAACGATTCTAAAAAGGTAAGAAAAATACTAACCCGATTGGAATACAAAGAGACTAGTCCCATTATATGCCCGAATTGTCTGAAAACGGACTACTCTACTTTCATACCCGTTCGGGTATAAAAGGGTACAATTAGTCTCTTCATAGGACATGCCCGAACAAAAGGGAACAGTTCAGTCCATACAAAGGGATGCAAAGTGGCATTAGTCGCATTCTCCTTTGCGACTCATACCGGACACATCCCGGACTCGTCGCATTTTTTGCAGGGATATTATTTAACTAAATTATTTGAAAAATACAAATCTTTTACAACGATAACTTGTTTATTTTGTTATTAAAAAGTGAACAATAGTTCTGTTCATCGAGTAAAAAATTATCATGATTTTTGTTCAAATCGCGTTCGTGGAGACCAAAAAATTGTCCAACACTCAAAAATTGAGAGCGCAAAGTGGCAGTTCCCTTGGAAAGAAGTAGCTGGGAAAAATTTAGCCAGCAAGAATTTGCAATCAAGGTTGCCACTGAAAAACAACTACCAAAATGGCTTCTTTCCTCCGATTTCTTTTAATCAAGAAAACGGCGTTTGACATCATTAAATACATTTCTGGTTTTTATACTTAAAATAAGATATCCAGTAAATAAAAAGATCAGATTATACATATAGCACACACAAAAAAGTGGTGTGTGCTTTTAACCAGACACCCCTACCGACATGTATTTCGACCCACTGAATCCGAATCAGAGGTCCATTTGACTTCTAAACCCTCAAAATTTCGAGTAAATTGCGAAAAACCGAAAAAGTGGCAAAAAAATTCGCAGTTTATAGTTTTAATAAAGCCTTCGGGGTAAATGACATGAAAAATCGTAGCGGAAATTAAAATTCCGTCATAGATTTTTTTTATCGCTCATTTGCATACATACATATATTATGAAACACGTACATCTACATATTGCTACCTATAGGTGAAAAGGTGCCAATACAGATAATGTGCGAAACTACATCGACTTTTGGTCTCTCCTGAACAAATTCAAAAAATGGACTTGGCTCCTTTTCATCTTCAGGTAACGATATATTCATTAGTAAGATAAAAATAAACCTAACGGTTAGGCTTGCCAAATGTCCGGGTCTGGAGGCCTCCGGACTTGGGACAAAATCTGCGCGCTGCGGGTTTGATATTAATTTCTTCGAGTTGCAGGTAAAAACTTTGAGATTCACCGATTTACTGGAAATATGACTAACAACAAGTGGTTTTAATTTTTGAATCACTCTTCTATTGCTATTAAAATATTTTAACAACCTTGTCATTGTTGAAACCATTATCGATTCGCACTGCATTTCAAAGAAAAATATCTCATTTATAAACCTCCCTTTAAATTCATCAATTCAATCACTTGATATTTAGATACGCAGTGGATAAGATTTTTTATACGAGTACAGAGTTCAGAGAATTGCCGAAGATAATTGCTGGAATTCTGCCTATACCAGTAAGCGACGAGGTTTTTAAATGAATGAGGGTAAAATTAATATTGTCAAAATTTGGCAAGCATACTCACAGTGCTGACAAAGTGACAAATTACACAGGCCAGAGATGTTTTCTGTTTTATGAGCAAATAAACCTACCAAAATTTTAAGCGTCCTACCATCTTACCAACGAGAAAAAACCTACCAATTTTGGTAGGAAAAGCCCAAAACGGAAACCCTGTTTGCAATCACGAAAAATATATGATTGTGGCACATGTTTGCATTTTTTTCGGCGCTGATTTGAATAAAGGAGTTCGTTACATTTACAAGTTTATAAACATGAGCGATTTTCTAATAAAAAATGTATACAATTAAATACTTGTTTACTTAATTAATGTAGTTAATTCCAAAGATTTGATATGTACTCGGTTGAAAAAATTGTATTCGTTATCGGAATGCAATTGCAATCAGGGTCGATTTAGGAAACCCGACACTTAGTACAACAAAGAAATTGGAACATATGTTAAAGAAAGTCAGAATGACAAGAAATATACATGTAATACTGTTTTTTGTCCATCTAAAAGAATTTTAAAAATCTATAAATTACCCCAAATTTGCGTTCGTGCAGAAATTTTATAAGTTTCTCTGCTTATGTGAGAATTTTTCCCTACTCTCCGATATTCTTGCTGGATTTTCGACGAACAAACCTAATGTTCGCGAAATTAAAAGAGAAAATGCAAAATGGTATATTGTGATGTCACTCTAATTATATTTGGTAGCAGTGCTGTCATTTGCTAATTTTCGAGTGAAGTGATTTGGGAGAAAAAGTAAAGTGATTATCGTAGTGACTATTTTGAAACACAATTATGACCGTTGGGTTATGCGATTTAATGTATTTATTAGCTGATTGGTTAATCGATTATTTGTTATATTAAGGTCTTTCAATAAACAAGCATGTGTATTACCAATCTATATCTATCAGCGTATACCTCTAAGACACATATACTCCCACCTCCCATATACTGTTAGTACTTTGAAACTTCCATATTTTCGTAGCCAAAATCTATCTAAATCTATCTTGATATATAAATAAATCTTTGAAATATCAGTCCGGTTCAATAATATTATTTGCGAAGGGGCGTGCCACTGCCCACCTTTGAGAAAATGTTTGCAACTCAAAAAATCCTTAACTAAAATGAATCAAATTAGGTAATATAAAGTAATTTTCCGTGGTTTACTAAAATCGGCTGAAAAGTAAGTCCTTAACGAGCGCGCAACCTACTGCTTGAAGGAAAAAGTTTCTAAACATACAATTAATAACTGAACGGAATTGTAACAGCTTGAACACTAAAAAGCTTACATTACTTGAGAACCTTAAAAAATGTTTCCTCTTGCCGAAGGAGGTGCTGGCACCAAACTTTACTTTTCAAGTATAAATTTAGAGAATACTCATGACATTTTTATATTTTAATCTTGAAGAATATTATCCATATTGTATTAACCAAACAATTAGTTAAGCAACCTAGGACCATTTCAAATTTAAATTATCTGAAACAAGTAAGAAAGTCTAAGTTCGGGCGGAGCCGAACATTAAATACCCGGCGCAATTATTAAATATATGTTTTCCACCTTTCCGAAAGCTACCGCTACACGATAAGCCGGGGTGTATAAATTTTAAGTAAATTAGCGTCCTTAAATTTCGAAATATTGCAGTTTCAAGCATTTCTGAAATATACCGTTATATGAAAAGCGGTCGTAATTTTAGTCCGATTTCAATAATTTTCAACGCTTTGCTTTTACGTGGCAAGCACAATAACCATACCGAGATTGGTTCAAATTGCTAGAACGGTTAGCGAGATACATATATGTGATCATAAGTGGGCGGTGCCACGCCCATTTTCCAAAATTGTATCATAAGCATATTTCTAGGTAAAAATTTTTGCAACCATCAACTTTGAATAAATTAGCTTTAATATTTACTGATTTATCGAGGATTTCGTATTTTTCTAAATTACCGTTATATGGGATGTGGGCGTGGTTATTGTCGGATTTTAAAAATTTTCGGCCATTTGGTATGCTGTAGCAGGACCAACAACTGTGCCAAGTTTGGAAGAAATTGGTGCAGCGGTTACCAAGATATACACATGTAACCATAAGTGGGCGTGGCTACGCCCATTTTCCAAAAATTTACAATATTCTTATTTTTTGTCTAAAAATTATTGTAAATATCAATTTTGAGTGAATTATCTTCAGTAGTTACTAAAATATCGCACTTTTCGTATTTCTGAAAATCACCGTTATATGGGAGGTAGGCGTGGTTATTGTCCGATTTCGCCCATTTTCAATACCATCCGTCCTATGCCCAAAAGAAGTCCACGTACCAAGTTTCGTTAAGATATCTCAATTTTTACTCGAGTTATCGTGTGCACAGACGGACGGACGGACGGACGGACGGACAGACAGTCACCGCTTAATCGATTTCTCTTTTCATTCTGATCATTTATGTATACATTTGTCTATATCTATCTCGATTCGTTTTGCCTGTTACAAACAACCGTTATGTGAACAAAGTTATAATACCCTTGTGCACAAGTGCGCTCGGGTATAAAAATATTACAGGCTTCAGTTGTGATGGCAACACTAGCTTTTTATAAAAATCATAAATGTTTTTGTCAGTCTCAAAGAGATTCAGAATCGCATTTCAAGGTCATTGAGCACCCTGTGTTGGTTACAGTAGAAAATTGAAAGTTTGTATAGAAATTACAAATACCAAAAGGAAAAACCTAAGGGGGTGCCCCTCTTCTACAATGTAATTTTTTCCACCATATAAAAATTATCGTTTTCGATTTTTATTGGATTTTTATTAGACTTTACATATTTTATAAAGCTGGTTTACAATTCTGAAGTAAACCAAAAAATTAATGTAAAACGATGTTCAAGGACTTAACAAAAAATTTCTATCAAAAAACTTAAACTAGTCTGCAGCGCTCAAATGGCAAAGTAATTTTCCAACCAACAGAAATAATGAAAAAAGTTCTTGCGATTTTTGTTGTCAGCTATATTCAAAGCTTAGCGAATGAAATAAAAACAAGAAAATATATTGTATTTACATATATCAAAGGAAATAATATAGTATAGGAAGGGAAAAGAAAGTAATGCCTTTTGACATTATATTCCCGCTCTCTTTTAATAGAGAATTTGAAATCACGTAGGCTATTCAGGATCAGGTAGCCATGGTAGCAAGCATAAGATTTTCAAATGCAATTCCAAATCTAATCCAAGA